AATCGTATGCGGCACGCGCTCGCATGATTATCGGTGCCTGGGAACGAAGCTGACTAATCGTATCGTTAACTTTTCAGCGGCGATCGAACCGATAATGTGACGTGGAACGCGGAAGGTAAATGGAGGGAGTGAGAGAGAGAGAGAGAGAGGGAGAGAGTGAAAAAAAAGAGGAGAGGATGGAAAGAAAAAAAGAGAGAAAAGGGGAAATTTGCATAAGTGTGCGTGGCTAGACGGGAAGTGTCGTGGAGGGAAAATTACGGACCTCGAAAGTCCTGTGATTTCACTGAAACGACTTCGGGAGAACCTTGCGTATACATTTATATATTTTTTAATTGTCCTAATTGTTTTTTTTCTCTCATGATTATTACTCGTGACTATTTTTAACCCGGGAAATCGGCGTTGAGTCTCGCCTAGTGACGAAGAGGAAAGATGGATAAGATGACGAAGCGGGTAAGATGACGATTTATTAATTTTTCTAAGCTAATTACAAATAACGCGTCGGTGCCGATGATGCACATTTGTACATTTTATTTTAAATTATATAATTATAAATAATTGTTCTTATTTTTGTTCTTGTTTAAATTTTATTTTCTCTAAGTTGTATTGTCACACATCCTACATTTTTTGTTTATAAATAATGTTTTTATTTGTATTTTATTGTGTTGTACAGACATTATAATAATAAAATAATATGAAAAGCTTGTAGAAATTATATATTTCTTGTATGCATAAAAAAATTTATTTTTAACCTTCGTCACATTTATACAACTGTATAGCCCATGGGCCACTTATTTTGCTGTAAAAGTTTCATTAAAATAAAACAAGTTTTCTAAAAAATATACAAATTTTAGTTTTTAAGTCAATATGTCCTCAAATACCTGACGTACCCTGTATATGGGGGCTAGATGATATATTCTCAAAAGATTTAAATTAAGCGAAATTATAATTTATTTATAAATTTTTCAGAGAGAGAGAGAATTTATGCAAACGATAGGCAGACTTTAGCTACTTAGAAAAAAAATTGATCATTATTCTGGCGACGCTACGAAAATGAGGAAATATTGACAAACTTTAAAGCTGTCATCTTACCCTCCTTGGTCCTATTTACTCGTACTCGCTTCGCGAGGATGATTTCGAGAGCGATTCTTCGCACGCGAATGCGCACGCGAGCGAGGCACTCGAGTCGGCGTTTTCCGAAGCCGCTGACCGCGAATAGAAATCTATTTAGGTTAATTCCACAATCTCTCGTACAGAGAAATTGGCTGACTTCCCTGATACATGAGGAGGCGATTGTATGCCATCGGGGTGGCCGATGAAAAGGACACGGCGATCGCAGCGGGTGCCGACGCGCGCGAGACCGTGCACCGCGTGTGTCGCGTGTACACACACGTCCAGCACACGTCACGCGATCAAGGGTGAGAGAACGCTGCGGGAAGGAGGTTGAAGAGAGAGAAAAAGAGCAAGAGAACCAGAGAATAGGAAGAAAGAGAGGGATAAGGGTAGAAGGGAGGAGGGCATAGTACGGATCGCGTGCCCGCTTTTTTTGCACCTCGCGATCGACTATTCTTCGTTGCTCCGAATTCAGCCGAGCCACCCCACGAACAATTCTTATTCTCCGCATTATGTAATATCTTGCCCGCGCCTTTTGATCGCCTTTTTGGAAGCACTCAAGAGGGGTACGCGTCGTTTCCATAGGAATAGGCGTAAATGCGCGCTCCGGCGAACCGGAATCCCACAACGGCGGAAGTCGCATACAACGGAAATTCTCCGCAGCGGAGAATCGCGCGGAAAGAGTAGAGACGCGTTTTCAGGATGAATTGTACAAGGTGTGATTTGTTACGTTCGTTGACGTGAAATTTTGAGTGTGTTAGTAGCCTACGTTTCATAAAGTGAAATTCGCACAGAGAGTGTTTCCCGCATTGCGGCTGAACTAGAGTTACTACGCTTGGTCGAACGCACGTCAATCGATACGTCAAAAACTAACGATCGTCCGCGTCTGAATATTAAAGCAAAAGGCATAAAAATTGACACAGGTATGTCAAACTGACGTAACCATGTTTCTTGGCTGTGAAATGTTGAACTTTGTTGGATAGTACGTGAACTTCGTCTTCTTCGACTCGTCTTCTTCGACTTCTTCGTCTTCTTCGACTCGTGTACAATAATTGAAGCTAAAGTGGCAGTTTCTGCATGCAAGCGCATTCGATCGCGTCATTAGCATTGATTTTTGTGCTGTGCTGAAGTTTTTGTCGAGCTTTTTCTTGTAAAAATTGAAGTAATAAATCAGCGATAATTTATTGGACAATGCTATAGTATGCTTTTATAGTGTGAGCTTTGAATATTTTAAATCATTTTAGATTTTGTGGTAATTTTTCTCTATCCTCTGTTACTGCGAGAAATTTAGGGTTAGATCGTTCTGAAAAACCGACATACCTGAATTTATTGGTCTTTCAACTGACACTTAAATTTTGCTGCGAAATATCTTTTCAGAGATTACAGTTGAAGTTATTGGTTTTCCCTTGTTTTTTCTTGTTTGTTTAAGATGGTCGGAAAGAAGTCAGAGGATCCCTTTCCATAATAAAAGTGCAAAATTTTTTTTGCTGTTACTATATTAACAAACAATTTGCTATTCTAGCAAAATTTGTTTTCTTCGTTTGGGAAATTCACATTGTAAGAGTAAAAATTACGCGATTTCGAGAAAAATCAACTCAAATTCGCTCGGCTGTCACTTTACTTTTCGAGCAAAGTTACACTTTAATAAATTTAAAGAATATTTAAGTAATTGCGAGAAGGATAGAGGAGGGGGAGGGGGGGAGAGAACAACTTTTTAGCGTTTTAACTCGAAAAAAGCGGACCGAGGGAAGAATGATGTCGTCAGTGAGTCACCGGGCCATTAAGCATTGTGCAGGTTACGATATCAATGACTTACATCGTACGTCGCATTACGAGCCGTGGAGCGGGGCCAAAGCATCCGGCTCTCCGCTTCCGGTCCGCACGCGACTTCTGCACGTGAAGACACGTGGCCCGTATCTAAGCGCGTTTGCATACACACATGCGCGACGAGAAGTGCATATTTGCGTTACCTCAGCTAAGGGGTGATCGTGCGACAACACAGTTCTATTCCACCTACATCCTCTTGTCCGCGATTACACGAAGTTGCATTACTTCGTAATTGCGAACGAATACGTCGGCGCGACGATGAGGAGTTTGGCCGCGAATTTGATTGATTCGAG